CAAATAAATAGTAAGTCATAAATATTACTTATGTCCTAATACAGTAGACTAATTAGACTCGCTGAGACAAAGAAAAAACCACACCATTTTGTATGAAAATTATGCACAAAGCATTTTACAAACAGTTAATGTAGTCATAATATATTAATCAACTCTTAAAATAATTAAAGATGCATTTCCACCATTTGTCACAATACTGACAAACTCTGGACAAAGTAATAAATATAATAGCAGCATGAAGAGCATATCATCTGCTTGCAGTCAGCATGGTGCTCTGTGCCTGCAAGTCAGAGCCAAATCCACCCATTTGGTACCCAGAGAGCCAACCACTTTGAAATTCTCTCTTTCCTCCTTTTCAATGCTCTCAGGTGATAAAGTTCTAGCAACACTGCACTGCAGAGTTGTTCATTTGACTTAAAAGGTTATTAAAAGCTTTAAAAATAAGTTAGCTATAATAACAACTCAACTTAAAGATTGTGTTTGACCCATTCCTTAAACTTTTTGTAAAACAAGGAAAAAAGATTCCTGGTGAAACCCTACTTTCCCACTACTACCAACTCGTGTATTCATGACTGGTTTACTTACAGGACACAGTCTCTCAACTTCATGCTTGATTGTTTCATTTTTGTCACTAATTTGGTACATTATGACAGTTAAGATGCTGGTCACTGAAAGTCAGTTTATTTATAAATCTGCATTTCATTTTGATAACTTATAAATACACATGGCCCAAGAGATGACTAACTTTCTTTACAAAATCCTCCCTTCTCTCTTTGGATATTATTCGATGCGTACACAGATTGTAGTGAAAATAGTTTTGAAAAGTGCATCCTTCATCAAATATTTTGAGTCTTTGTTTTTCTTCACTAAGATACTTTATCACGCTGTCTGTCCTGAAAAAATACTTTAGGGAAGTTCTGTGGTCTGCATTACATGAGGGTTCAGACACGATGGGCCTTTCTTATATTATCTATGATCTTGTTAATAAGCCAGAAAGTAAAGCAAATGAACAGCTGTAAATCATCCATCACATACAGCTTTACCCTACACTGAAAACTTTATCACTTACTACAGTTGCCAACTTCTGAAGAGTTCTCTTAAATAGTGCAAAATTATTATTTTCTTCCATGAACATATGCAACTTGAAGAGAGTATCCAGGTGCCAAAGCACGATTTCACAGAGCAGTGCATTCATGGACCTCTCTCGACCTCAACGTCATATTCAAGGCTGAGGTTACAACAGCCAATTCTGTATTGAGAACATTAATAAAACTGGAGGACAGCTCATAACCAGTTAACAAATTTCCTCTGGCAAAACAACAGTTGCCACGTGATTATAATACTGGTGATTTTTGGCAGAGCAGACCAGTGGAGACTGAAAATATCACGTCCTCTGGGAGTCGTGAATGTAAGGCCACAAAGAGGACTGTCTCCCTTTTTCAAGTTTCATTGAAAAATAAAAAAAGTTTTATGCATAGAAAAAAAATTCATCCCAAATAAATGGAAGAAAAGTGAGTCTATTCCACTGAAATTAATATTAATATGTTTGCTCATTTGTTTAAAGACAAAAGAATTTTACCAGTAAAGCACTGGAGAACATTACCGAGGGAAGTTGAGCAGTCTGCATCTTGGAGGTTTTCAAGATGGGACTAGACAAATCCCTGAGCAACCTGGTCTGAATTCAGTGCTAATGTTGCTTTGAGCTAGAGGTTGCATGAGATGGTCTTCTGAGGTCACTTCCACTTGAAATATTCTATGATTCACTGTTCCACTGCTCTTGAATAATCTGGAAATTACTGTCAGAACTGGAAAGTTGGTACCTGGGAACCTTAAAGTAAGAGCACTCTCTTAGCTGGTTCTCCTCTCTATGCCTGCAGGACGAAAGGCTTACAGAAGCCACGAGCTCCTTGTTTCTGTGCTGCGCATCCTTCTGGGAAGACACTATATTATATAATCCGAGACCAAGCTTGGATTAGCTACTTGCATAAGCATTTTCCTTTAGTATCAGATGGGTTAGAAGCTTCATTTAGCCAGGTGTTGCATATCTGTAATCATAGTCATTACTGCAGGCGAAGAGTTAACATTGTATAGTGGCAGCTCCTGATTGCCTAGTCATGGCCATTGTCCTATTTTACCAAGCACTGTATAAAAATACAGAAAGAAAAGACAAAGAAAAGGGAGGTAGCCATCCTAAAGAGATAGCAGCCTTAGTCAGGCTGAGAAGTGTGGTGGCATGTACAGATAGCAACTACTTACGCAAAAACATCGTCATTAAGAAAAGTGCTTCTTTAATAACTCATTGCAGCTGAATCTGGAACTAGTAGCTAATGGAAGAAAACTACATATATAACAATCCTATACACTGTATTTTGGCGTTATAGAAGTTCTGATTGACATCTCTGCTCTAAATGTGCACTACCAAAAATAGACGTAAACCATCTAATTAAAACACAAAAGTGCTTTTTTGTTGTTATTGATGTTGGTAGGAAAATTGGATATTTATACTATCTGTAAAAGATAGATTAAGGTTTACAACCATCACAGAGGTGCCTGAAGGGATGACCCAAGCTAAATACATGCAGCTTTGTTTCAGACTATTAACTAAATGCTCTTTACAAATTGTCATGGGTCTTCCCAACAGGTGAAACGAACAACACTGTGAAAAACATGTAACAACCAAAGAAGACATAATTATTTGAAGATGTCTTTGAACTTCAAACTTCCATTCTGACAACATTGTACTGTTTTGTGTTTACATTAACACAGTCTAGTAACCTTAAACTGCCATCTGTCCTGTAGAGTTCATGAGCCTCCTGGTGAAGATGCGCTGTAGTCTTGATTGACGGATTGAGCATCACATCTTCAGCACCCTGTCTTGTGCTTTCATTCATTAAGGGTATATATCTCCACTTTTGGCAGAGAGGTATGTTGATAATTTAGTCTCCATTCATACAGATCAACTCAGATCTATCAATACATGTCTATCCAGAAAAATGCTAAATGACAACAAGGACGACATGTTTCAGTGAGGTCCTAGAAGGAGGCAGACTAAACATATGCTTAAGTGTATGTTCTCCTTCCAGGTTACAAGATGCCTAACAGATAAAGTGCTGTGTAAGTGGTCATGCTGCTCTTCTCCATTCTCTGTGCATTTTTGACAGGTCTGTAAACTATGTGTTCAAGACAATCCCCTGCCTGATCTTTTGTTTGTGATCAACACCATTTCAGACAGTGTTTGAATCTAGAAAACAGAAAACAAATATGTTCTTTGACAAACCCTGAATATCACCAAATTAATAGGAAGAAAATGTATTTAAAGTAATAAAATCTAAATCTCATTATTCCACTACCCTGAGAATGTGGGCAAACCGCCAGTGGTAACAGCTATGCACATTTACTTTTTCCTTCATAACATGAAGATATAAAAATTCAGACTAGATTAGAAACTTGATCTAACTTTATGATATTTAGAAAGTCTAGCACTCTTCCTGATTAGACTCTCAGACTGCATCATCAGTCTCTGGGACTATGAAATACGGCTTTTATAGTAATGTGGATCCTTGTTGTGGTGAAATAAAGCATTTTAAGTGACTCACCACAAGTCAACGGAAAAGAAAAGAAACAAAACCAATCCAAACCAATCCCCAGGGGTTTTTTTGGTTTTGGTATTTTTTTTTACAGTCCAGTACTATTTATAGAAGTAATGTTTGGTGCCCAATTTGGGTAAGTATAGAGATCAAATATAGGCACTATCCATGTCATAATTGCAAGCATAACTACAGCAACTCCGATGATGTTAATGCCCAAACCAGCTTTCACCTAAAGGAGAGGAAAAAGAAAGCAGAAACTCACATCAACACATGGAAGAAAGTTTTTAAAATGATAAAAATCCCCTTTAGGGAGTTTTGCTTAAAACTCACCATGTCCATAACAGTTAAATGACCATATGAAAATACAATGGCATTGGCTGGGGTTGATATGGAATGCAAAGGAAGTACATAAGGTAGCAGGTATCAAAATGAAAAGTGGGTTCACATGAATGGCTTCAGCCTATCGTAAAATAAAAGAGAGAGAACAGCTGTCAAGGGACACATTTGCCAAATGAAACACATAAATACAAACTTACAATACTAACAAAAGTGAACTGTGAATGGAACTGCCTGTTTAAATAGTGAGAAATAACCTTTTCCGATAACTCATTTTTAAGATTATATCTGGGAATGCTTCAGGTGAGAAAAGGTGATTCTAACACAGAATGGCTACTAAACTTTAAATTCATGCCTGATATTTTCTAATTATAGGTGAGTCCATAAAATAAGACTATTTCAAAGTGTGTGCACACTGCGCAAGCACTGAAAGGAAAAACACTGTAAGAAAAATGATGAATTTGTATATAATACATAGGAGGGACTCAATGAAGTGAGGAGTAAGATTTCTTTGTATGAGAGGGAGAGGACATTAGTATGTGTCCAAGCTGACCAAAAGGAAACTCTACAGACCAGAAGATGATTAGTAAGTTTTGAAGAAGAAAGAACTGGGTGTTTTGATAAAGATGATGAGAAGAAAGGACAAAATTGAGCTAAGGAGAGAAGAAATTAAAATTACATATAAAGCACATCTACGAGCCCTCTCTTCTCTTTGGTGACAGATTGGAAGTTGCAGTGTTAACTATTTTTGCTGAAGATGTGGTCCAGAAGAAACACTGAGAAAGCTGTCCTTTTTAAGTGCTTTAACTATTTGCAAATAGGAATAACAGAAGATTTTTGAGTACTGAACTTTTACCTAATTTTGCTGAATTTTCAGCATCTCTTGTAAGAAAGCCCCAAAACAACCAAGTATTCAATGCACAACACAGCACAGAAAAACAAACAAACAAACAAAAAACCCCCCCCAAAAAACCAAAACCAAACACCAAAACATTAAATATTTTATGGCTACTTTTAAAAACGGCTTCTTTGAGCAGCTGTATTATTATTACGTGGATGATAGAGCAGATTCTGATCAAAAACAACCTGCCTTGTACTCACCAAAGGAGCTAGTATGGGCAAAAATATCGTAATGGTAGCTGGATTGCTGGCCACTTCTGTTACTGAAGTGACAATAAGGCTTGATATCAGAATAACCAGCCACAACGGTAATGATCCTAGAGGGGTCAATTTTCTTGCTACCCACTCAGAAAGTTTTGAAACCTGCATAAGGAATATGACAACATGATTACATTTTACAAATCACTGAAAAAAAAACTAATAAATGATACAGAACAGGAATTTACTCATCTGCTAATGATGAAGTATTTGTGTAAAAGAGAAAAAAACTTAAGTATTTTCCATATTCCTGCAACATGTTTTTAAGCACATTTTTCTAATTTAATGATGTTCTATAGGAACCTGTGCAAACTGTATTCCATTTATTTATTTTTGCACCTTGGAGACATTTAGAGGACTCATAATCAGAAAGTTGTAATATGCATGTATTGAGCTTCAGAATCAGAGTTTGGGCTTTGGAAACAGTGTGTCTGCACAACTCCTACCACCATCAGGTTTAAATTAAATAACAAACTGTAGTCATCACTGTGCATAGCCTTTGAAGAAAAAGCAAATTCCTTTTTTGTACCTCTGCTTTCTGAACATCTTGAATATTCGTCACATTTATCATGTTCAATACTGCTACAGAATAACTTGTTAAAACAAGAGAATAACTGTGAATTCACTGTATGTCTGAATTGTTCCTGATGTGGGTCATGCTAATTGTTCAGTATCTTCTATAAATTGCATTACCTCACAGCCGTCTGCCAGTGCGAACCCGCCACCGACAAGAATAGCTATTTCCCAGGGCATGCATGACTGAAATTCCTTCCAAGTAATCAGTGGAGTGTAACCAAAAACAGCTAGAGAAAAAGAAAATCAAAAAACCAAACACCAACATTTAAAAACTTATTGAAAAACATCTTGAAAGAATCTTTCTGAGGAAGTACTTGGGAAATATTCAAAGGCAAAATCTCATCATTATAATATGAAGAAAGTCTTTGACATGAACAACCTGCACTTCCTGCATCTGGTGAAAACTGTCACAGCCTGAAGACAATAGAGCTCTAACTGTTACCACCAGTGGAGCATTGGCCTCTCCCCCCTCCTTCCCTATGTGAAAGATAGACATGGTATACCAATGAGTTTAATTTACTCAATAGAACTGCAGTATTCAGACAGATTGCTGAGCAATGCAGCAAATGCTGTTTCACTTAGACTCATTGAAGTTCTGATTTTGCATTCTCTGTGAACCCTCAGATCTCATTGATGTCAGCAGTGAATTAAATACATGAAGAGGACAAGCTGGAGGTGTACTTTAATCAGGCTAAATTCCATTTTGAAGGGGAAAAATTAAATGAGAATGGACTCATTTACCATGTCAAATTTTGCAGGGCACGTTAAATAAGCAGCAATATTTTCAAAAAATAAAACCAACCCTGTCCCCATTCAAAGCCTGTGACACTCAATGGAACAGCAGTTTCCATTGGTGGTGGTGGACTGTAGGTAGCAAGTTCCTGCACAGCACTAGCTCCTGCTGCTCACATTGCTTAATTGTTGGCATTGACTTCCAGGGCAGGGTTTCATTATAACCCAGTAAGATATTATCCTATATTAAGATTGTAACATTAGTATTTAACAACATTCCCGTAACAAGTGCAATCAGTTATATTTACGGTTGCATCTTATATGTCTTACTGTAGTAAAGTCCACATCAAAATGTACTCAACTGTTTTCTCCATTGGAAGTCCTAGACAATGTTTTTGCTGGAATAATAAAGAACAGAAGGCCGATCACTAAAGCAGTTGTTGAATCTGTAGCATAACCTTTATACCTAAGGAGAAGTTAACAAGAAAAAAAACCATGAATATATATAGGCAGGAGGAGTAGGGGAACAGAGTGAGGAGGAGGATGGAGCAGCAGAAAGGGGCTGTTATGGACTGACCACTTGGTGCGGTGGAAAGAGGTAGAGGAGTCAGGAATGAAGGACTGAAGTTGAGCCTGGAAAGAAAGGGGGTGGGGGAAAAGTGTTGTAGGTTTTGTCTTTGTTTCTCACCATCCAACTCTATTTTGAATTGGAAATTAAATTAAATTAATTTTCCCCAGTCCAAGTCTGTTTTGCCTGTGGTGGGTCACTGGTAGGGGATCTCCCTGTCTTTATCTCGACCTATGAGATTTCTGACTTTATTTTCCCCCCTGTCCTGTTGAGGAGGTGAAGTGAGAGAGCGACTGGGTGGGCATCTAGCAGCCAGCCAAGGTCAATTCACTACATCTGTAGAAATATTAGATGCAAGCCCTCCAAATTAATAAATAAATATCTTGAGTATGCATGTGTTATTTTGTCACATGGAAATAAGCTGAGGAAGGGGAATATTTGGGAATAGCTGGTGCTTAAACAGTAAGTTTTCACTGTTCAATGATAAATTTAATAACTTTAATATGCTCTGTAGAAAACTGAGTCCAACAGGCCTTAAAAGCACTGTGCATGCCCACAAAGGAGGATGCTTTTGTAGCTGAGAGAAGGCAGCAGAGCTTTATTATCATCCTCCTATGGCTGTCACTACTAGGATTATAGGCACAAGGACCATGTTTATTTTTGTCATTTCCAGTGCCCAAGAACTGCTTGCACTAGTGTTTCTTAAACTGATCCAATATCCTTCTAACTTGTACAGAGTAGCCCCAAGATCAGATAAAGTGCAAAGCTGAGCTCTAATGCCATTTTAACACATCATCTGATTTTTTTACACACTGCTAGGTGGTGACATATCCCAGCCTGTCTTGTTTCAGTCAAGATGTTCATTCAAATGGATAAGAATTTTGCTGAAGAAAGTTAAAACCAATATTTTGTTAACGTTTGGGTTTTTTTTTCTATTTTATGTGAGTTCTTCTGTAAGTATTCCTGAATCAATATACCAGCATATTTGTCCTCTCAGCCTTATATCATATGCTTTTCTGCATATGCAGCTACAGTAGGTCCAAGCATAATTTTCCAGCAGATCTTCCCAGCAGTTTAAGATTTTATACTAGCCCAGGGCTTTTCACTGAAACGGAGATATCGTCTACCACTTATATGTTACTAATATATAATCTGGTAGATCTCTTTGCTTTGACAAGTGTTAGATGAGATTCCAAAAACCTTAATACGCACAGCACGCTGACACCACAACCAGCATAGTTTTAACTAACACTGTCACAAAATGAAGCTCCTGTAGAAGTTGAAGTCGTTCTCTAATATTTTGTCTTCTGCTTCCTGTTGTCTGTTAGCACAGAAAACAATTAAAAGCCAAGTTATTATTTTGTAATGGTTTCCTAAGACAGGGTTCTAGCCTAAGACTACGTGCACTGGGTCAAAAGAGCAGAAAATCTCTTCCTTTGGGATCCTATCCTGCGCTCCCTTAAGAATTGCTGGGAGTTTTCAAGGAAGGAAAGATTTAGATACAGAAACAATTAATACTGCCACTTTCTTTTAGGCAGCTGCTTCTTCACAGAATGGTTGAGGTTGGAAGGGACCTTTGTAGCTCACCTCATCCACTCACCCCTGGCTCAAGCAGAATCACCCAGAGCTAATTGCCCAGGACCATGTCCAGATGTCTTTTGAATAGCTCCAAGGATGGAGATTCCACAACATCTCTGGGCAATCTGTGCCAGTGATCAGTCACCTGCATAGGTAAAAAGCATTTCCTGATGTTCGGGAGGAACCCCCTGTGTTTCAGTTTGTGCCCATTGCCTCTTGTATCATCAGTAGGCACCACTGAGAAGAGCCTGGCTCCATCCTCTTTGCACTCTCACAGGTATTTTTAAACACTGACAAGATGCCCCTGCAGGCTTCCCTTCTCCAGGCTAGACAGCTTCAGCTCTATCAGCCCCTCCTCATAGGAGAGATACTCCAGTCCCTTAATCATCTTTGTGGCCCTTTCTTGGACTCTGTCCAGTATATCCGTGTCTTGCACTGGGGAGCCCAGAACTGGATGCAGCACTCCAGCTGTGCTCACAAAAACTTATTATTCCTGATGCAAAACACTGTTCTCAGAAAAACTGCTTGGGACACACAACACATCCTACCATTAGTCATACTATTATAAAGACACACCATGCAACATTCCAAATAGAAGCTTTTCAATCATTATCAAATTTTGAGAGAAACATTTTTCAAAGCCCATATATCCAACGCTGTAATACAATTGCAAATACATCTACCTGCTTATAACATTGCAAATCTGATTGTCCTATAAGGAAGCAAAAAACCTGTTGATTAAGGAGATCTCAAAAATTATCCATCTGACATCATTGTAGAGAACAGGGCTGTGGGTAAAAGTAAATAGTGGCCTTGTATTGTAAGTAAAGAAAGGAATAAACATGCAGAAAAAAAGAGAAAATACACTCAGGCAGTAATCTGAGGAAGCGTGACGGAAGCCCACCTTGCATACATCAGCTGTAATCAGCTGCAGCCCAGTGTTGAACTTTCTGTTTCTTATGAGGTTCATAAAGTTCTGGCCAAAGGCCAATTTGAAACTCCTCTAATTGAAGCTAATGCCCTACAGTCTGGAATCAAGCCAGGACATGGAAGGAAACTCCTGTAGCAGAAATGATGTGTGATCCTGTGCTGTAGGAAACAGACATTTTTACCATGTGCTGCTCTCTGTGGTGTTATACAACATTTATTAAAACATCCTGCTGTCTGCCTCCAGAGGGAGGTAACAGGGGTTTAGGGCAGGACAGTAAAAGATTATAGCCTTTCATAGATTTACAACATTTTCTTAAGAAGAATTAACTGGTAAAGGTAATGTATATCTGAAAGGCATCTGATAATGTTCCTTAAAAATGAGCTCTACCTGATACTAACATAGCATGAATGTGGATTAAAAATTGGCTGACATTTCAAAAAGTAGCCCTTAAAAAGTGGGGAGGTATCATCATTTAATACCAATATTTCTGCTGGGATTTTTAAAATAAATCATTGTCTGTATTTTGAAGGTGTATTCAGTAACTTGTGAGGATGCACACAAGGGGCTGAGAACATGAACATGGGTGGTGAGAGTGATGGGAACTTGTTTCTTGAAGCAAAACCTTGAGCATTCAATGTAGTTTGTCAAAATGCAGTTTATAATGTGATGTAATTAAGCCACATACTTATATCCTTAAAGCACCTGTCACTGAGAAGTTTTTAATGCAGCAGGGAAAGACAAAAACAGATGGCTAGATCCTATTTTCAGACAGAAGACAAGGTGCGAGTTTGTCTTGTTTAGTTTGGCAACAGAGATGATTATTCACCAGGACAGACTATCAAGGAAAGTAGTAAATTCCAAAATCTGAGGAACCTGTGCGTTGCCACCTGAAAATCAAGCCTGGTTGCTTTCTGGGAATTCATGTCCTAATAAAATAAACCAGTATTGGGCTTAACACACAGAACAATGCAGCTCTTCCCATCTTCAGCATGTTAGAATAAATGAACTGACTGTTCTGTCTGTTTTAAGACCCTGGGAGTGCTGTGATTCCCACCTAATAGGACTGACTCACTGGTCCAGGAGGGTCTCAAGGTTACTCATAGCACTGACATTGCGGCTTTTCATAAGGAAAAAGCTCATCTATACGGATGATAGAACTTCCCTAAGTCTGGCTTGAGACTGTGGGGTAAGAGCCTGTGGAAAGTAAGTACTATTGGATTTCTGACAAGAAAACAGGTTTCTAAAAGGGCAGAGAATATTTCCTTACAGTTGCTTCCTGAAACGTAGACTTAAGGAAGATGTGCACATGCCTATCAGTAAACTGAAATCCAAAACACTGAACAGTTTTGTACACGGAGGCATTGGGAAATTCATGCATGAGAGACGTAAGCCGCAGTTCATGCACTGCTAGAAGCCTCTTGGACATCACATTGGTGAGCGCAATGTGACCATTGACAGAACCACAGTTCCTGGGTTTGAGTTCTTTTTCCTGTTTTTTTGTTTTCTTTAAAGAAGATGGCTTACTACTACTCTCAGCTGTACCTGCACTGGCTCCTTGACCCTCTCACGTATTGTGGCTGAGAAGTTTTTGTTGCTTAGAAAAGTAAAATCCCAATTGCCTGGTTTTATGCCTGTTAACACAATGGATTGTTAAATGAAAGCTATCTAGAAATAGACAAGGTCTGAATGGTAAGAAATGTTTTCTTTCCCCTTAAAGGTTGTGTTAGTGAAAAAGAAATGCTTTGTTTTTTCTTCAGGTTACCTCACCCAAATTATAACATGATTCAGCCTAATGTGACATGACATGTGCTTGCATTCCCTTCTAAGGAAAACATTATAGGGCATCCACAAAGTAACATCCCTGTGCAGAACCTGTAACCACATTTATTATGAGAATATTCTGCTTTTCCCTGCCAGTAAACAAAATCCTCAGACAACAGTAAGCGAACAACTTCAGATAGGAAAATGTGCATCTCTGGACTGAAATAATTCATTTGAGCCATAAGTCCCATGGTTGAAATGTTGTTTTCAATGTCTGTTTTTCAGTACCAGATGTAGCTCGTTAAATGGTGCTTGATGTGCACTGAATGTTAATATGAAGCAGAAAGAGAAGCAAAGCCAGCCTGATTGTCTAGCTACCTGATTGCTTGATTAGGTCAACACTCCAAAAACCCTTCAAGAACACAGTGTTTCTTATGAGACAATGATCACCAGCCCTGCCATTGTTATAAGGGAAAAAATGTTCTTTTTGCAATTTTTTTGATAATAAAAAACTAAAAAAAAAAAAATAAAACAATCTTGGTTTTTAATACACTTTTTAATGTTATTTTTACACAAAATAATTTTGCTTTGCACTTTAAATCTTCAAAGGGCTTTGATTATTCCTTTTAAGGTCCCCTACCAGACTTTTTGTCAGACCACTGGGGAGGGTGTGTGAGTGTATGAATGATGGGAATATATTTAAAGAGAGGAGGTATGATGGATGCATGATCACATTTAGGACACACAGGAAAACAAAATGAAAAATTACACTCCAAGTCCAGCACTGGTCTTTGACCCACCCAGTAATAAATATTAAATCCAGAAGGACCTAAACAGTACAAAGTCCTGCTCCTCCCAATCCTGCAGTACCTCCCAGTACTCCAGAGCAAAACTCAGACCTTTATCACAGAACAGACTGAAATTACAGTAATTACAGCAAGAGAGCAGGAGATGTCACAGTATAATAAGTTCTTGCAAGAGCAACTGATTTCTTAGGCAAAAAAGTCTATGTGATCCTGGGGAAAGGACTGTGCAAGCAGGCTGCAGCAGAAAGGAAGAAAATGTAATAGTTCCTGAATTGCTCCTGTCTTTTTGGTGGTTAGTTGAACTGTGACATTGAGAGAGTTATGTATGAACAGACAGTTTATATCATTAATTAGTGCTGTCAAAGTAGGGGATGTTGGCCTGTATGCATACAAGGGTAGCTAGATCAAAAAATTCTAACCAAAGATTTTTCTTGATATTGCAGATTTGATTAAGAAGTAGGATAATGTAACATCAGTCATTATGCATTCTCCCTCACTGGATCAAGACTTAAACCTAGGCATAATCTCTCTTAGGAGGCACTTTATTTTATCCTGCAATGTGTTTAGCACATTTCAGATACTACACGTATTTTGTATACGCTAAAAAGGTTTTCAGCAACTTCAGCCTGGAATATTTCTGAAGTATTGAAAGTTTGGTTTGGTTGTTGGTTGTTTGTTTTTTTTTTTTTTTCTAAATCGAGAATAAAAATGGTATGTTGTTAAAACACAGTACGGTTCTTGTTGTGTATCAAAAAGATTACCTACTTTGGGAAAAGTGAAGACCATCCTGGGATGAAACCAGGCTCTCTGGTGAACCACAGCAGGGTCATTAGGATGAACAGGACAAGTGTAACAGTTTCTGGATAGCTATAGCAGAAACAGAATGGGTTATACATTTTCCTGAATTCAGACTTGGATTTACTTGCTCTTGTTTTCAGATTTATAGTTTGACTTACCTCATTGGTCCAAGCTTCTTGTATTCATCCTGAATCACCTGTGCTGAGGCCTCTTCTCTAGCTGTTTTCGTCTTCCCACACTTGAACATGGTTTTAAAACTGGAATGTAAATCAGAAATATTGAATGATGAATTAACAGGGCAAAAAAGGTCCAACCTTTCCAGTTACCAATAGCACTTTACAAAAGTAAAATTTTCATTTTACGATACAGTATCTCCCATTTAATTATCACACGCCAAACTGAGCATATGGGAATTAATTGACAAAGCCCAGTGAAATACTGACAGAGGCAGCAACAGGATGCATCCTGTTATTGACTAGCTCATTCGCCCAGGAAGGATGTAACTTTAATCATGGGAACTAATTGAAACAAGCAAATACATAACCTGGCTATTTAATGAAATTCATCCATGACTTCACTTTACTTTGTTTTGTAATGAAAAAGTTTGTATTGCATGAGTAGCCTGCATACTGATCAGCAGACCATTTGCTACAAGCTAGATTTTCATTCTTGGATAAGACACTTACACAGTATTAAAAAGAACACTATTGAAACAATCAAGAAAAAAGAAACAATGAATGTTCACATATAGAGAGGTAAGTGTGCAATGAGTCTAAGTCTGCTTAAGAGTAGGCAGTCTCACTCTTCATCTCTTGCACCATAATTAGCCATGTAATTGTGGAAGACAGGTGTCCTCATTGTTATCTCTGCAGATGTTGCTGCAGGCTGGAAAAGGGGAAACATAACCCCCATTTTTAAAAAAGGAAATAAGGAAGACCCGGGAAACTACAGCCTGGTCAGTCTCACCTCTGTGCCTGGCAAGATCATGGAGCAAATCCTCCTGGAAACTATGCTAAGGCACATGGAAAACAAAGAGGTGATTGGTGACAACTAACATGGCTTTACCAAGGGAAAATCATGCCTGATGAATTTGGTGGCATTCTATGATGGGGCCACAGCGCTGGTGGACAAGGGAAGGGCAACAGATGTCATTTACCTGGACTTGTGCAAAGCATTTGACACTGTCCCACATGACATCATTGTCTCTAAGTTGGAGAGACATGGATTTGATGGTAGGACCACTCACTGGATAAAGAATTGGCTGGATGGCCATACTCGAAAAAAGAAACAATGAATGTTCACATATAGAGAGGTAAGTGTGCAATGAGTCTAAGTCTGCTTAAGAGTAGGCAGTCTCACTCTTCATCTCTTGCACCATAATTAGCCATGTAATTGTGGAAGACAGGTGTCCTCATTGTTATCTCTGCAGATGTTGCTGCAGGCTGGAAAAGGGGAAACATAACCCCCATTTTTAAAAAAGGAAATAAGGAAGACCCAGGAAACTACAGGCCAGTCAGTCTCACTTCTGTGCCTGGCAAGATCATGGAGCAAATCCTCCTGGAAACTATGCTAAGGCACATGGAAAACAAAGAGGTGATTGGTGACAACTAACATGGCTTTACCAAGGGAAAATCATGCCTGATGAATTTGGTGGCATTCTATGATGGGGCCACAGCGCTGGTGGACAAGGGAAGGGCAACAGATGTCATTTACCTGGACTTGTGCAAAGCATTTGACACTGTCCCACATGACATCATTGTCTCTAAGTTGGAGAGACATGGATTTGATGGTAGGACCACTCACTGGATAAAGAATTGGCTGGATGGCCATACTCAAAGTTGTGGTCAATGGCTCAATGTCCAAGTGGAGACTGGTGACAAGTGGTGTTCCATAGGGGTCGGTACTGGGACCAATGTTGTTTAACATGTTTGTTGGCAACGTGGACAGTGGGATCAAGTGCACCCTCAGCAAGTTTGCTGATGACACCAAGCTGTGTGGTGTGGTGGACAAGCTGGAGGGAAGGGATGCCATCCAGAGGGACCTTGACAGGCTAGAGACGTGGGCCAATGCCAAACTCATGAGATTCAACAAGGCCAAGTACAAGGTCCTGCATGTGGGTCAAGGCAATCCCAAGCACAAATACAGGCTGGGTGGAGAATGGCTTGAAAGCAGCCCTGAAGAGAAGAACTTGGAGGTGCTGGTGGATGAGAAGCTGAACATGAGCCAGCAGTGTGCGCTTGCAGCCCAGAAAGCCAAACATGTCCTGGGCTGCGTCAAAAGAAGCATTAGCAGCAGGTTGAAGGAGATGATTCTCCCCTTCTAGTCTGCTCTCGTGAGACCCTACCTGGAGTACTGTGTTCAGATGTGGGGCCCCCAACACAAAAAAGACATGGACCTGTCAGAGGAGAGCCACAAAAACGTTCAGAGGGCTGGAGCACCTCCCCTATGAGGACAGGCTGAGAGAGTTGGGGTTGTTCAGCTGGGAGAAAAGAAGGCTCCGAGGATACCTAATACCAGCCTTCCAGTACCTAAAGGGGGCTACAGGAGAGATGAAGAAACACTCTTCATCAGAGAGTGTAGTGAGAGGACAAGGGGTAACAGATATAAGCTGAAAGAGGGTAGATTTACATTAGATATTAGGAAGAAATTATTCACCATGAGGGTGGTTAGACAGGTTGCCCAGAGAAGCTGTGGATGCTGCATCCCTGTAGGTGTTAAAGGCCAGGTTGGATGAGGCTTTGAGCAACCTAGTCTAGTGGAAGGTGTTGGTGCCCATGGGAGGGGGGCTGTAACTCAGTGATCTTGAAGGTCCTTTCCAACCTTAACCATTCTATGATTCTATGTTAGTGAACTCATGGAGAACAAGGCTTTGAAGAATCAGCCCAAAAGAAGTATTGTCCTCTCCAAAACCTTAAAAGCACAAGCTCTGAGAGGAAAAAAAAACCCCACCCTAGCACATATGAGTTTTGGAAAATACATTTACAAATATAGTCATCCAGTTTATAACATACATATTGTTCAAGTATTCAAGCCAATCCCTAACTCCAGCAAAGTGCAACATCCTGACTATAAATCTTTCAGCCTTAGAGCAAAATGTATAACATTTCAGTATTCATCTGTCTTGCATGCAGGCAGTGTTTAATGATGATGTGTGTATATTCTAAAGGAATAGGTATCATCATTTGTGATATGGACTTTTCACATTGGCCTGAATAGTCAAGGATCCTCGTTTTAGAAAATTCTTGTCCCATCCATAGACTCAACTATGCTAATCAAGGTTTCTGCATTATCATCCTATTGAGCCTGTTAAACTTAGATGCAATCTATACTGCTGGTCAAAGTATCTCTTATATCATTAACCTTTAGTTTTATTGATTACAACGTTTACTTACTCAAACCCAAGGAAAAGCCACTGGAGCCAGACCCAGCAGAGCAGCAGAATAATAACTGTGATGGGGATGGAAAGGACAAACCAGGATCCAAAATTGATGCACTGGCAAGCTGGGTAACGTCTGAATGAAAGTAAAAAACTGTTCAGTTGACCTTTGCAAAGGAATGAAGACTTGTGAGAAGTGCCAGAAGGCCCTGAAGCAAGAGAATGCTTCTGGCTGGCAGCTGAATTCAGCATGAGGTGGCCTCTGGTGTCCTCTTCCCTCACCCTCCCATTCCTGATCATCATGACCACTGCAGGAACTAGCTGTGCCAGTTCCTTGAGCACTGGATTGGCAACAGGTCCAGGGATCTGACACCGATATAGGTGTGTCTAACCTGAGTTCAGTGGGCAAGGAAGGGCCACTCACAGCGTTAAGGACCATTAGGACTACAAAGAAAAAGAACTTGAAGAAAAGTAATTCTTTGAGAGGAGACTTTAGCACAAGAATGTATACTCAGATGAATGAGCTCAAATGAATTTAGAAGAGAATAGTAGAGACAACATTGAGATTTGTATTGTTTAAGGTTCTATAAGGTATCCAAAACTTGTTAAAATCAAAATTATTATTACTGATTTCCAGAAAAGGCAGGAATGTTCATTTTTTAGGTGGATTGTCTCTCCAGTCACCTTGTCACTTTGTGGCTGTCTTAATCTACAGTTTACAGATGTGGGCCATTCAACCAGAGCTCTTCCAGCCACGTGCATTTAAGAAAAGGAGAAATGGGCTTTGATTTTCTGAAATAAATGAATTTGCTGTTGAATGAGAGAGATTCCAGACAGGAAAAAGGTCAGGTACATGAATCCTGTGTTACAGTTTACTTTATGAGCAGAAGTTATTCTTCCTTCTAACTCCTCCAGCTCTACTGAGAGAACTTTTAATACTAAAAGTGAGAAAATTCTAGTCACCTTGAACAGCCTTCCTCCTTGATGCAAAAATCAGATGGAAGGGAAATCACAATGTCCAGACAGAGGCTGTAACGACTATTTCCACTTATTATTCAATCTTTTGTATTTCAGTCCTCACCAGAAGAAAAAGAATTCTGATGGTCACATAGGTCTTTGAGGCAGTAAATTCTTATTAAAATGCTTTCTCAAATATTGTGAAAATTTCAGGATTGATCTATATTTCTTATGATGCTTACATACATTGCAATTAAAGTGCCAGCAGGGACCAAAGCAAAACTCCTACCCACTTTTTGAAGTGATGCTTTAAATTGCCACTGTACATAGTAATGAGACAGTGAAACTGGAACTAGAAAAGGCATCATGCTATTATACATAGTTTATTTATTACATGGCTATTTAGCTTTTATTACATGATTACCCACATCAATTTTTTATATATGAATTCCAAGATAGGAAAAACTTAACATCAGCATAGCAATGACTTAGCATTTCATCCCTTGCTAAAGTGTTTATGATCTTTCCTGAGTTATGTGGGATTCCTTACTGGGCAACAAAACAAGCTCTTGAAAACTTTATACTAAAGAGTCAATTCTGTTATAAAATGTTGATTTGTTATGGTCAGGCTTCACAGTAAGATTGTGCAGGGCTGAATATATATGTAAGTATTTCTAGTTTTCTTAATATTAAAGTTAGGTATTCTTCATCTCCAGAGCAAGGAGTTTACTCAGGTTTACTGGACTATTAATTCAAATTATTTAAAAAATGATCTGTTTGTAGTGCTGGTTGTATTATCTGCTATTGTTGGATTATCTACTATGGGTCTTGTGTGAGGCAAGGATAGACAGGACACACTGAACTATTTATTTTCTAGACTTATTTCCTTTGGAAAAGAAAAAGTGCAATTGATTTTAATAATCCTAATTTTACAGTGATTCAGTGCCAATAACAATAAACTTTTTCCAGGAAAACCCTACAAATACCAATAAATTTCATTCATAAACAAATCCAGATAAGGTTATACCTTTTATGACTTTTATAAAGTCGCTTAGGTTGAAAATAATGTAATATTGGCAAAGTTTTATTCTTTGTGTTGGAAGGGTCAAAGTGAGTTATCAGAATAGGATTCAGGAAACTGTGTCACTTGTCAGTGAGCCTGACTGGAGAACCAGAGGATTCATCGTAGGATTTACTCTTCCTCAAGCACAGGAGAACTCAGTTTTCTCCCTGACACGGTGTTGTCTGGTAACCTTTTCTCTCTCTAATCTCTCCACAGCCTTCCCCTTGCCCTGGGCTGCAGCTGCCTATGCTCGCAGGATCTGCAGCCCTGCTCTAATATGGCCCAGCTGTGAACCTTGGCTTGCAGTGCTGAGGAAGCTGCTTTGTGTGGGAAAGAGCTGTGAGAAAGTCTCTACAGCAGAGCTATGCAAGATTAGATAGGTAAAGCTGCACATGTGAGATAACTAACATTGGGATCTGCAGCAGCCTGAAGAATTCAGGCTAGATGATCTTTAAGGTCCCTTCCAACCCTAACAATTCTATGATTCTGTGATTTAAGAGGAAAAACAGCAATACAGAAAGGGATAAAATACTAATGGAAAATCATTTGGAGTCAGAAGAAAGGGACCCAGCATCACTGAGGATCTGTTCAGTGAGCAGTGAGGACCAACCCATCTCATCCCCATTGATACCTTCCCGGCCAGCAAAGGCTTCTGGGTATCTTATGAGCAGTGGCGAGCAGACTCATGCTTAAGCTACTAGCTGGTTACACAGCTTCTCAACGGTAGCCAGTACTTTTCTTTTTAGTGTTTTTTTTTTTCTTTCAGTTGGTTATATTGTAGAAGCTGTGTTGTAGTGTCTCTTTGCCTGCAATTAAAGAATGGAGTGACCCTGAGAGGATCAGTAACAAATCTGTCTTGAAAAGGAGCCCTTATGGAAGTTGGTCTCACTGGCAGGGATGCTTAACATTGCATCAACACTTCCACTGTTTGCTTCTGCCCTGTGGAACACAGCATAATTGCATGGCCTAAATCAACAGCAGACTGAGGATTCCCAGCAACACACAGACTCCAGTGCTAACACAGATATACTGGTTTCCTCTTCATGTGACATATGAAAAGGGGGGAAGTAGAGAACAGTAAACACTAATTCCAGTTTATTTAATACTGAAATTGGGAAGATATGAGGAATATGGAATTTCACAGTGCCATTTTAAGTGTTTTGTCACTGAGTGGGAAACCCAGGAATATGGCGTATGCACAGCTCTTTTGCTGAATTATTTTACTTCAGATGCTTATGATACAGGAAGGTAGACTGCAAATGCATCCAAGTCATGTTAACAGGTCAATTCCCAGTTCAGACAGGGCATAAACACAAACGAGGCCTCAAAGGAGAAGGGGAGCAAGACAGTTAAAGATAAAAATATTTACGCAGTTAGGTGGTAGATTCAGCTTAAGTTAAGAATTAGGCTCAGTGGTTGTGTAAAGATTAAACAAGGTCCTGGTGGGGTATAAAATTGGATTACACATGCAGTGCTCCATGTACGGCCCATGCTCCTAGAAGAGGGTGAAGACCCAGGGAGAGAACAATCTGCTTATGCATTCTTGAAGAGATTGTTAACAGCTAAGACAAACTAAAAAACCAGCTGCAAGCCGGTTTTCTTCAAGTTTCCTACAAGTTCAGGGAAATGAACAAGACTGGTTCTTACCCATAATAATCAACCTTGGATTCCTCTAGGCTCCTGAGTGTGAAGCCTGCTTGAAGCAGACACGCTTATATGCCTAAAAGTTTAAGTGCGAAGGATTTATAATGCCACAGTCTGCCTTGTGTAGTTCTTTGGGCCAAATAACATGCACTCTTATAATTTCCATAACATTTCCGTTGTTGCTGTTATCTTAGCACAGTCTGATTTACAGACTGTACCACTTCAGTTCTGTTTATCAGCATGCTGAAGCCAAATTTCATCCATTCATGGAAGAAAATCTATCAATAACTGTCCTTTCACCATTTTGCCATGTGCAATACAGAATACTGGACAGAGGGTAACAAAAGGATTGTGCTTTATTATGTTCTGGTTTAAAATTAGAGTAGGAATATTTCTGGCAATGAGTAGTTTGCAGAAGAAAAAAAAAAAGTTCAGCAAGAACTATTGTTTTTTCAAAATCTTTTAAATGAATTCTGCCAATTTTCTTTCCAAAGTAGTTCTACTCAGAAAAGAAAAGGGATATTAAAGAATGGTTGTAATAACCTCAAAACAAAGTGTTCCAGTGAATGCAAAGTTTCAGACTGGTTTGAAATTATTTGCTTTTTCTTTGATTAACAGACCCAAATTCCTAATTCCAGTAATGCACTAAGCGTAGCTGCCTGAAAGTCTCCTGATGCTCATTGCTAAGCAGACCCAAACTTAGCGCCTGCTGTACTTAGAAATTAATAACAGTCCTTTAAGGACAGGCAGTGTCTGTCATATTCATGCTAAGTAGTGTCTTCCTCCTCAGATAAGCCTATCTTTTTCCATGCAGCTATTCAAAAAGCACTACTTAACCAAAGAATGGTCATCTTGTTGCATGTGTTGGGTGATCACTTACAGCCTTCCCCAGGGTAAGACAAATACAACCATACAATTTCATTTTATCTCTTTAACAAAAAAATAACTAAAAGAAACTAATAGAATCAAATAATATTAAATCAAAGGGTAAGCTTTCTAGTGCCTTTTAGGGGAGCCATGTGAGAGCTCAAGAAAGAACAGTAAAAATTCTGGATAAAGAAGAACAAAAATAATTTAATATGGTCTCTTACGTATTGAAGTGCTCATTAAAAATCAGATTAGTCGATGTTCCTGTGATTGTTGTCAGCCCTCCAATGGTAGCAGAATAAGCAACACATAAGCACATCACTTTGAAAATCCCACTGTCCTTGTCATCTCTGCTTTTTCTCCCTGTTTCAGCAGGTGGTAGGTTCTGCTTAGAAAGAATATACACCAATTAATATATAAGCAGGTCTCATCATCAAGCACAAAAATAGGATTCAAGGATGTCCCAGAAGAGGCAGACAATTTTCTGGCAATATAGCTGTATGCAATGTGGTTTGGTTTGCTGTTACAGTGGTACTACCATTAGTCATGCAAAGGGAAAGGAGGGAGAGTCAAATCCTGAAGTCTTTATGCACGAACTTCCTTTATATATACTGACGTATGTACACATCTGATATATAGAGCTTGTACTCTGGTGAGGTTGGTTTAACTTGTGTAAAATACAGTGGGAGCACAAAACTACTAACTAAAATATGACATAAGCAAAGTGTATGTATATGTGTATCTACAGGACATCTTAACCCAGGATCTCTTATTCACACGAAACTAGCTTCATTGCTAGCTGTGCCGTGTTACGTGTTACACAGAAGTGAGTTTTAGGTTAAAACTAAATTACACACATTAACTGCATATTAAAAAGACACCTTAAGTACCTCTTCCTTTTGTTTTTCATTTTCCTTTTCAATGGTGCATACAGTACTACCCACTTCATTGTCATATCTGGAAAAACAAAGGTATGTATTGCAATAAACAGACATTCTCTTTAGATGAATTTTTATTACAAAATTTAGTAAATGAATAACTATTACCCATTAACTTGTTTTTCTTTCTCTTTCCAGTCACTTCTTTCACATTCTCCTATATTTTCTGTAAGACATTGATGCAAAGACAGATAAGTATTTAAGGGAGAAAAACTGTAAAGGCTTCATCAGCATGTCCCATTCCATGCAATCACTTCACATCATCCCATGAATACATTTACAAGCGCCAATCTTAAAAACAGATGAGTTGTGCCCTACTCCTTTCTGACTCTTATTCCTCAGAGTCTTAATCTCCTAATGAGGAGAAATCTTTCTAATTTACAATCCAACCGTGTATGTAACCAGTTCAGATTCATTTGTTCCCCAACATTACCCTAGAGATTAAAAAAAAAAAAAAATTTCTCTTGCTAATGTTTAACCCCTGGTGTATTTATAGCTGGAGTCATATTTCTTTTCAGATATTTTACTAGGCTGAACAAGCCTGTTCTCTTTTCCCCTTCTCTCATGACTGCCATATTCTGCAGCTGTTCAGTTGTAGCTAATCTTTGTGAACGTGGAGACCTCACACACTGTAATCCAAGAGAAGTCTCACCATGAAGCATATGATGACACTAGTACTTCCCTAGCCATTCAAATTTGTTTTATGTGGTCTTTAGTCCACTGCAGAGTGAGGGTGGGCAAAGACAAAAGCTGCACTGCATGCCTACCGTCCAGCTCCAGTGCCGGGTTGATGGAGCCATTAGAGCAAGACATCTCCAGTGCATCAGCTTCTGCTTCAGCTTTGGTGATCTGCTGAGCTACAGCCTCTACGATTGGCATCACCATGGCAGCAGCAGAGGTGTTGCTGAGCCACATTGACAAGAAAGCACAGCTAACCATGAAACCCAGCGTAAGCCTGGAACAGGAGAGAAGAGTCTGTGTCTGCTACAGCAACACCTCATATCACCACCCTGTTTAATATAAATGGAAAGCTTCTTCAACAGAAAGCTTGAATGCATGAAACACTGAAAATTTAAAGCTTGTACTTGACCTCCGAGGAAGTTTATGAATTAAAATTGTCTTGATCAAAGATAGTGAAATTATCATACTTCAGAGTTAAAGGATCAAATATATTATATATTGAAACAGAAGCAATAACATTTATTTGCAGAATGATACTGTATTTTAACAATCTTTGAAGAAAGAGCATCATACATATGATAAGTTCAAACGAAAGTTAAAATGGCTATACTGCTAATGCTATTGATCTTGTATTGTACAAGCTAGGTCAAAACCCTGGACTTATGACTTAGTCTGTAAATCCTCTAGATACCAATACAGGTGTCATAGGAGGAAATATTAACAATTCAGTAAGCAGTACTTAACTTATTTCTTAATCAGAGCCCCAAGACACCTGTAGGGATTACCTGTGCTTAAATAAAAATCATACTTCATATTAAATTGGAAAGTGAAGGTCACTACAATGTCTTAGTCTGGTCTTGGCACAGCTTATCCTAACAATATGAATCACATCTGTGCAATTCCTGATTGCTCTGATGCAATGCATTGAATTGCATCAGTGACTGGAGTAACTCTAGTTTTACACTAAAAGCCTCAAATATTCCATGTCGTATCTGGTGAAGCTGGGCAGCAATTTTAGAATACAGATGACACTGTCATTTTTAATGCATCTCTTGGAGTTGTAAATGAGAGTAGTCCTCCTGACTTCCTGTTCCAAGGTGTTGGCAGTGTCATTAAACACCTGCCAAGCATCACCACAGTGACAACTGTGAGTGGAGGGACTGTTGTGTTACAGCATTTTCTAAGTGATTTTTTCAATTTTTAAAGTTCTTTGCCTAGCCTCAATCAAAAGCTTCACAAAAACTGTAAGGATTACTCAGCACATGATGGCAAGATTTTATAAAAAAATAAATAAGCAATATTTCTGAATGGTATAAAGATATCATTCAAAACACCTCTCATAGTCTTTTATTTCAGCTAATAGCAACATTTCAAACTTGACTTTTTCTCACTAGGGGTACCTTGTCTTTTCTCTGTGCACTTTTAATTGCACAATGATGAAAAGACCTGTGTACCTACAAATGGTAGACATGGTTCAACAAAAATTGTCATTAGTAGTTTAAAACCCCTTAACTTTACACAGTTTTTGATTAGGTGCTCAGATGGAAGTTGGGGAAGAATTATGTTTTCAGGAGAAATTTTTATGCAGAAAATACTGGTCAGGCTAAGCACACTGAGTATGAATGTTCACATTGTAGAGAAATATAATTTTATTACAACTTGAAGAGGATTTAAAACCAAAGCAAATTAAGACATTCATTAATGTGTTTCAAAACTGTTCATCATAAATTTCCACCATTGGATGGACTGATGGTCAGGTCACCATTTAATACAGTGTGGTATACTGAGAGTGACTCTAAAATTAATTTTAAAAAAATAAAATATATCCTAACCTGTTTAACCACAGTTTTTCTGCATTATACTTGCTGTGGTGTTGCTAAAAAATATTTTGCATGGAGCCTCGGATGATAACCTCATTTATGTTCAACTATAAAGTCACTCTTTGCTATGTAACATATAATCAATGTTTTATTACTCATTCTAGTCCTTGCAGGTTGCATAGATGTATTCACCTTTCTCTGCTAGCCTGCAGACCAGACCACATAGTTCAAATGATGGGAGGCCTTTAGGGACTCATAGAATCATAGACTCATTTAGGTTGGAAAAGACAATTAAGATCATTGAGTCCAACCGTTAACCCAACACTGCCAAGCCCACTACTAAGCCATGTCTCTTAAGTACCATGTCTACATGTCTTTTAAATACCTCCAGGGACAGTGACTCAACCACTTCCCTGACCAGCCTGTTCCAACGCTTGATGTATTGGGTCTGGCTACAGTGGAGTTAGCATCCCCACAGCACCCTCCCAGTGCTGAGTGTCACCCTGGCAGCCAGCAGGGTGTTTGTAACACAGCTTGGGAGGGGGCGGAGCCGGGACAGCTGACCCGGATTGGCTGGTCCATACCCGGTGTCAGCCATAACAGCCAAGGGCAGGGAGGAGGAGGGGGGCATTGGTTGCTACATTTGTCTCCAGGAGCAGCTGCTGCACATAATGAAGCTCTGCTTTCCCAGGAAGTGGCTGGACATTGCTTACTGAGCAGAAGTAGAGAATATAATCTTTGTTTACCTTTTGTTTCTGTGCATGGCCTTGGCCTTTGCTTTAATTAAACTGCTTTTATCTTGACCCACAAATTTTTCATCTTATTCTCCCACTTTATTTTGCTGAAGGGGGAGTGATAGAGGGGCCTGGTGGGCCCCTGGCATCTAATCAAGGTTAACCCACCACACTTGACAACCCTTTTGGTGAAGAAATTTTTCCTAATATCCAATTTAAACCTCCTCTGGCACAACTTGAGGCTGTTTCCCCTCATCCTATCACTTTTTACTTTGTAGAAGAGACTGATGCACACCTCACTACAACCTCCTTTCAGGTAGTTATAGAGAGTGATAAGGTCTCCCCTCAACCTCCTTTTCTCCAGACTAAACAACCCAGTGCCCTCAGTCACCTCTTGTAAGACTTACTCTCTAGACCCTTCACCAGGGTGACATGCTGGACATGCTCCAGCATCATAATGTTCTTCTTGTAGTGAAGAACCCAAAACTGAACACAGTATGTGAGGTGTGGTCTCACCAGTGCAGAGTATAAAGGGACAACCACTTCCCTAGTCCTGCTGGCCACACTACTTCTGCTACAAGCCCATTTCTCCAGAAGAATACAGAATCTAGAAGACTCTTGCAATCCTACTTCCACTGCTGCATCCCTCATGTATTCTAATGCAGAAACCTCCTGCCAATGGTATCTTGACCTTGAGCTAGATGAGGCTCCAATGTGCACAGGTTGTCTGGGGACTCCTGTGAAGGAGGAGGAGGGCTACACACGAAGAACAGCACGCATCACTTTGCAGTGGGCACAGCTAATGAGCAGCAGATGCTGAGAGGTGGGAGGATCCTCTCCTTCTCAGATCTCTTATTATAATCTTATAATCCTTTTGTCATGATCAGGAAACATGATACAGCTGAGATAATTGTGAGGGATACTGCTTCCTCAGGGTTACAAAGCTGTCTGTGGAGTTGCTGTAGGTACCCTCAGCAGCTGGCTGTGGGTTTCTGTTTCCGCAGCAAGTTCTTCAGCAGTGTCCAGTTTAGCACAGCACACCATCCACTTGGGTTCTCTCTTTCAGGATTTCAGTCAAAAGGTGAGGATTTGTGAGTGACCAAAAAAAGAGAAGCTGACATACTTCAACTGCATAGTTCAAGAATATAGCTAAAGATAATGGGAGGCTGTTGAACACGAATGTCAAAAAAGAAAGCTACCAGCTATTGAAAGATGCAGGGAAAATCTAAATACATGTGATATTTAGGATTAAGACAGACAGAAGAACAGAAATAACTAGCATCTCTATGAGGTGTTATTAGTTAGGTCACCTAAGAGGCATCTCATTTTTTAGACCTGGGGTTTCTACTTTTCTGACTTTTTGTTTCTCATCACTGTCTGTTTCCTGACAAGGAGTCATAAGCATCATGTATTCTGGGAAGCTAGACTTACTGTACAGATCTTATCTGCAACCTTACTGGTGTGCTGACAGATGAATTTGTGGGCCTAAAGCTTTTCTGCAAGCCTGTAAAGCAAAGGAAAGAGTTTTCACTTCATAAGATATATGCTGAGAGTGAGTAAGTAGAAGGTGTGAGATTTAATTGCCCTCATCATCTCATCCAGCTGGGGAAGTTTCTATTCCTTTGCTATTTTCTTCATAGGTACTCAAAGAAAAAAACATAAAGGAAGACACTGTGCTTACTGACTTTTTCTTTACACACCGCATCTTTAATTTTATGACTTTTTTTTTCCTCACGGTGTGTTTGAATTCTTGTATTTTTGGGAAGAGTTCAGAATTTTGCAAACAGTATTGAAATACACATTAATAATAAGCATAAAACAGATTTTCAGTTGTAGGCATCAGGTATGTAATGTACTAACCACCATTAAGAAACAGGACCCTTACATTATTCGCAAATTCATCAGATTTTTTTTTGTTCAGAAGGATCCTTATTATGAACTGAATCACTGCAGGGAACCTGCAATTAGGATTTCAGCAAAATAATAAAGTGTCACTTACAAATCAATCAAATAATTTCAAATATCTACTTTGTTTCAGTAAGAAAGGAAGGCTGGATTTCTACTATAGAAAAAGAAGTAGGCAATTATTTCTGGAATACATAGCTTTCCACCAGTATTCTTCAAGATATTGTTTAGCACATACCATGCAGGGTTGACACCCACCAGCATCACCATTCTTAAAGCCACTCTTTTGTGGAAATTCCATTTTTCTATTGATGTTGCCAAGCAAATTACTCCTATCAGCAGCAGCTGAAAGTCTTTAAAATAAGCAGATGCCACCTGAAATAAAAACAATAAATATTTTGTTAACTAAATGGTGACTTACTATTACTTGTTATTATCAGTTTAATGAAAAAAAAAAAAAGTCATCATGGGTATATATTAAAATAAATTATGAGAAAGTTTTTTTGGGCTTAAATTTAGACTTAATTTCATTGAAACTGTTAATTTTGTTTAGCCAAAATGGTGCAAAAGTAACTGCACTAAGGTGCATAGTGCTAAAAAAAAAAAAAACACTTATGATATGAACAACCTAAGATCATTAGTCACATCTCACATACGAACTAAATGACCAATGAAATGCTGCTTTTATTAATTTAGTTATCCAACAGAAAAAAAGAACAACTTTAAACAGAGACTATGATCATCTGTGGTGTCCTCTCTTTGACATGAAGATGTATACTCAGCATTTTGTACGTGGGGTCTTTAGTGTGTCATCTTGCTTCTGTAACATTAAGAGTATTTATATCTATCTAGCATTTTCCCATCAACTGCCATCTAAGCACTGAATCACAATCTAGAAAAAAATATTGAAGAAATACGAGCAAGTCCTGAGGACAAAGCATGTAAGCAAGTCTTGAGGCAGACCTACTGTGATTGGCACTCAGCAAATCTATGGATTAGCCTATCAGGTTTCAACACTGCATGGTTCTTTCCTTGGATATTTTATCACTGAAATACATAATATGATAGAAAGGAAAAAAAGGGTTACCTCCTTGGATTCCATTATACCAAACAATGGGAACATAAAGGCAGGAAGCAAAGCTGAAACACCCAGTGGCAAAGCTTCTGTGAGCCAAAAGATGGCAACTACAAACAACGTGTATGCACATTCTGCTTCCTAGAATACAAAAGAAACCAACAAAAACATGAGTGGATCATCCATGAAAAAAACCACACTTGCAAAAAAGTTCAGCTATGTCAGTAGAGAGATTCCACCCACCTGGAACAATTATGAGTCAAGAGACCTTGCCAACATGGCTTCACTAAGGGCAAATCGTGCCTGACAAATTTGGTGACCTTCTACAATGGGGTTACAATGTCCTGGGATAAGGGAAGAGCAACTGATGTCATCTACCTGGACTTGTGTAAAGCACTTGACACTGTCCTGCATGACATCCTTGTCTCTAAATTGGAGAGATGGATTTGGTGGTAGGGCCACTCACTGGATAAGCAACTGGCTGGATGGTTGCACTCAAAGAGTTGTGGTCAATGGCTCAATGTCCAAGTGGAGGCCTGTGACAAGTGGCATTCCATATGGGTCGGTACTGGGACCAGTGCTGGTTAACATCTTTGTCGGAGACATGGACAGTGGGATGGAGTGCACCTTCAGCAACTTTGCCGATGACACCAAGCTGTGTGGTGTGGTCAACACACCGGAGGGAAGGGATGCCATCCAGAGGGACCTTGACAGGCTTGAGAGGTGGGCCCATGCCAACCTCATGAAGTTCAACAAGGCCAAGTGCAAGGTCCTGCATGTGAGTTGGGGCAACCCCAAGCACAAATACAGGCTGGGTGGAGAATGGCTTGAAAGCAGCCCTGAAGAGAAGAACTTGGGGGTGCTGATGAAAAGCTGAACATGAGCTGGCAGTGTGCACTTGCAGCCCAGAAAGCCAATCATGTCCTGGGCTGCATCAAAAGAAGTGTGACCAGCAGGTTGAGAGTCCCCCTCTGCTCTCGTGAGACCCCACCTGGAGTACTGCATCCAGCTCTGGAGTCCTCAGCACAGGAAGGATGTGGAATGCTAGAGCAAGTCCAGAGGAGGACCACAAAAATGGTCAGAGGGCTGGAGCACCTCCTGTACAAGGACAGGCTGAAAGAGTTGGGGTTGTTTAGCCTAGAGAAGAGAAGGCTCCGGGAAGACCTAGGAGCAGCACCCAATACTTCAAGGGGGCCTACAGGAAAGATGGGGAGGCACTCTTTATCAGAGACTGTAGTGATAGGATGAGGGATAACAGTTTAAAGCTTAAAATAAGCTGAAAAAGCGTAGATTTAGATTAGATATTAGAAATAAATGTTTTCCTGTGAGGGTGGTGAGGCACTGGAACAGGTTGCCCAGGGAAGTTGTGGATGCCCCATCCCTGGAGGTGTTCAAGGCCAGGCTGGATGAGGCTTTGAGCAACCTGGTCTAGTGGAAGGTGTCCCTGTCCATGGCAGGGGGGTTGGAACTCGATGATCTTTAAGGTGCCTTCTAACCCAAACCATTCTATTATTCTATGATTCTATGACCTGAATTTAGGGTACTTATTGTCTGCTATTGATAATCCTGCTAAGATATGAACCACAGTCTGTAAAATAGTTTTAAAGATTTTTTTTCTAAGGGATAGTAAAATTACTTAAGTTCTACCAATTATGAAAGGTCGAAAAAAGTCAGCTGCCTTTTCCTTCGAGCACAATTAATCATATAGGTCACTCTGGAGCATTCTTAGACCATGAATTAACATAAATCACATTCTGCAGCTGCAAGCAAACCTTTAAACCTCTAGGAGTACTCACAGTCAATAATAGGTCATATTTTGTCCTTCCTGTAATCAATCAAGTTTTGGCAGCAGCATCAATAAGTCAAGGATATAATTGAATATAAAAAGCATTGTGCAAGACTGACAAGAAAAACAGTAGTTGTTTTCAAGACTTACAATTTCAGTGAGTGTCTTTTATTCAAACTCCTGGAAAACAGGAGTTTTTTTCCATTTTTGCAGGAGAATTTACTTCAGTGCTGCCTGTAGAATGCAGCCACAGCCAAATATAATAAGACAAAGTGAGCCTTGTTTCTTCTGTAGTCCTAGAAACCTCCTTTGTGTAGTTTTGATTTATATTTCTGCTCTTGAGGAAAATGTTTTAGCTCTTTTAATGACGCTGGTTAGGGCATGAAACTACTCAACAGCAGCAGAGACCATTTGTATTGGGAAAGTAATAGCTTAATGAAATGGCTCTGAGAACCTCTGACTGGAAAAAAAAAACAATATTAAATCCAAGTGAGTCAGCTCTGGCTAGCTTGTGTTATGTATGAAATAACTTGATATTGTCAATTCATTTATCACCTTTAAGATGTTCATCTCACTTAAGTCCTACCACATTAAGAATTTCTCAAGAATTTCCTCTCAGAGAGGAAACTGAAATATTGAAACTGTGATGTGAGACAGTGTGAAGCAGGTTGTTCTGTAAGCACTCTTTGTGATGCAAGGACTTCTGAACTGGACTTTCATGTTTTGTTACACATGATACATATAATGCGTGTGATAATACATCACAGGAGAATTCTATCTCGTACCAAATAGGACCAGTTATAAATTTTTTAGGTAGCTGGTTCATCAACATGGAGTTGTCACAAGAGTTATTGAACGTCAGAAGAATTTATTTCAATTAAAATAAAAGTGTCCTGCCGTAACCTTTGCTCTACTTAGGAAACAGAAGGAATTTCTCATATCATTGATTCCAGTCATCTGCTATCAGACAACACAATATATGATGAACTTAACAAAATACATAATCAAATAAAAAGGTAATTGCAGCTGTTTTCCTGACAATTCATCTCCATTGTCAGTCATATAGAACTGTTTAAAAGTGGCTGAAATGTAATAAAAAGGACAAGATTTTCAAGGTAATCTAGATTATGTTAAATGAGAAAAACATTTCCTGAACAAGAAAACAAATATATAATTCAGAATTTCATGCATCCAACACAGAATCTTACATTAAAGCTGTTGTCTTATCTACATTTCTACATACTCTAAGTTGACAAAAAAAAAAAATCCATAATGCAAAAATCATGAAGTCATTCAAGGTCCCCTCCAACCCAAACTATTCTGTGATTCTATGATTCTGAAAAGATCTTGGAATCTCAGGCCAGACATACAGGTGCAAAATAATTACCACTCAAAGCAGGTCACTTACTTTGGTTTTGATGATAAGTGGAAGTGGAAGTAAAAGCAGTGGGGTGAGGACAATGAGCAGGAACCTTCGGTAAACCAGGAGGTAGCTCAGAATCTTCATGGTTGATGGCTGGTATATGAACTTTCCTGCAGAAAATGCAAAAAAATAGGTCTGACTTTAAATAGCTGACTCTGATTAATATTTTTCCAAGCTATCACCTTTAGCCATTGCTAAAGTAGGCCAGTAAAACAAGTTAAAATTAAATCTTGCTCTTTATTGTTTTAGTGAGTTTATTAACAGTAGGTTGATAAGATAAACGTTCATCATAAACCAAAGCTAGATGTCAGCCTCCTCATGACTTTCTCTCCCTGCCCTTCCTCATAACAAGTTTATGTAATTAGAGCAGGTTTTAGACAGCTAGATAACAAAGAATTTAAAGTGGTCTCCCAGTCACTATTGACTTCAGTAGGAAATCAAAACACCTAAGATACCTAGAATATATGTTCAAAACCAGTTATGGCATGATGTGAAGACATATGCAAGATCATTTTAGAGAACAGAATTAAAAATTCTTCATCTTCGTCTCCATCTGTGAAGATATTCAAAACATGATAGGATAAGGTCCTGAGCAACCTGACCTAACTCTGAACTTTGCTCTGCTTTGAGCAAAAAGTTGAACTAGATGACCTACAGAAGTCCTTTCCAGCCTTAGTCTTTCTATTTATTCTATCTGTCTTGAATTTGATATCCATGAGAAAAACAGGGGTGTTTTTCTGTCCTGCCTGGCAGGAAGTATATGATAGCTCATTTTGTCTTCTCATGCAGAAACAGGATAAGATGTTCCATGTACATCATATAAATCTTTGAAGAAGAGTAGGAGAGTTTTTGAGACAAAAGTAAAAAGTAAATAAATTCTTTTGCCTGAGTTTTCCTGTTTTCAAGAAAAGAAAACTTGGTACAGTCTTTGTAATACAACAGAATAGCATCAACTAAAGAAGAGGAAAAGGTAGGAAAGAGGCTTGTACACTATCTGTGGGTGAAGATCAAAAGGGGAAAGGACACACTGTTTCGTGCTCAGGGTCTTACATGAAGCAGAAAATTGAAAGAGGAGACAGATGGAGTCTTTGAACTACCACCAGAACCATTCAAAGGCCAAGTAATAAGGTAGTTTTTTACTACCCATATAACTTTTTGATTATAAGGAACACATATGTCAGGGTACAGACAAACCAAGTGATCAGATTGCCAGCGTTGCAATCAGACTTTTGGTTTCAGCAAGGTGGGACTCTGGTCTTACTAGGAAAGCAGTGTTTCAAATCTAACTGACAGGAAGGAATTGACTGAAAACCCAAAGGTGGGAAATAATTTGGGGATGAAAGTAGTAATGAAATAACAGCCTTTACTACTGCACAGAAAGAACTGGGAAAACAGCTTTGACACAACCTAGGGAGCTGAGACTGAGACCTCCTGAGAAGATAATGTAAGGGATAAAGAAGTTCAAGTGAACTGGTAGCTTTTGAAAGGGGCTATTATAAATACATAACAACAAAGCTGGTTTAAAGAGCTCAAACATAGTGAGAAGAGAGGGACACTATGATGCCTGCATCAGGAAAGTTTCAAATATCCAAAAATGAAAAGAGAATTGTATGAGATCTGGAAAAATTGGCATGTGCCTGAGGATTGCTATAAAGGAATAACAAAAATATAGATGAATAAATTCAGGAAGATTGTGATGCAAAATATATTTCAGTTGGAGATGTCAAAGAGAATTTCTGTAAAACTGTCAGAAGAAAGAAGAAAAGAGAGAAGAGTAGAGCGTTTTAGTAAACAGAAGCGAAGACAAACTGCATACAGTGCCGGAGTATTCAACACTTTCTCTGCTTGACTCTTCACAAAGGTAAAAAACGGCAATCAATTCTTTAACAAAATTAATTTTAATATGGAAAAGAGAATGCACTATGGGCATGGTGCTGGTGGGAGTACTGAATATTTAGATTTAATATATGTATTCAAGTCAACAGTTCCAGATGAAATTCACCCATAATTCATGGGTGAGAATTCATGCAGTAATCTGAGAACTACTTTAGAATATATTTGAATATATCGTGATATGCCTTATATTTGAAAAACTGTGGGGGATTACAAATTCCTCGAAAATTTGTCAGGCATATGTGGAAATGAAATATGGCTAATATGTCACGTGAACACAATCTAATTTTCTTCTTTTATGGGACAACTAGCTTAGTGATCAAAGGTATAAAATATATGCATTTTATTTGATCGTAATATACTTTTCAGATTAACTAAGAGCAATTCAGAAGTAAACACAGAAGAAATGCTCTAGGGGAAATTACGCTTGGGTACACAACTGGTAAAAAAAAAAGTTGTTCTTGAAGAGTTGTTACAAATGTTTCACATGCATACTTAGATGACCTTTCAAATGGGGTCTTTAAGGGGTCTATTCTGATTAATTTTCTAGCCCATATTTTCATTAGTGGTTTGAATCACAAACTAGCAATGGGCAGGACAAAGGTAATACCTGCTAACAGATACTAGACCATAAAGATTGTTTTTTTCAGCATTCCCAGACCATCCTGGCTATAGCGAAATGCCATGTGGAGATAGATGTATACATTTTGGAACAAAAAAAGGGGAAGAGACTTCCAGTACTAATCTAAGTGAATTGTTACCAATGAGGCAGTAGAAATTGGCCTTCAGAATTAGCACTGCAACTCTGAAACCTTTCTGCAGGTCCCTGGTCTGAGACCTGCAGTCAGACACCAGAGACAGCCAGGGAAAACCTAGGAGCTAAAAGGAGAAAGGAAGAGGTTTCCTTCCAAACTTATGCTGAGATGCTTCTGGAACAGTTAAGCTTTTACAGGTAACCCGAGAATGGATCAACAGACAGATGCTCAGCTAGATAACAAATTTGTAGTGGAGTAAGTTTAGTGGAGGAAGGCTGGGGGCTTTCTGAGAGACAATGGAATCTGGCACAAAACTCTCCTTATAGGCAGGAACCAGGAACAATCAAGGGCTTGGAAAGCTGCTTACAAGGACCTTAAACATATAGCTCTGCATGTGAAAAGGAAAGGGGTTCTAATGTGATTTGAGGTATTACTGAATGATTAGGGGAAAAAACCTGATATATTCAGTTTGAAAAATAAGGATGTGCTTGCAAGAATTAAAAAAACAGAAAAGAGGTAAAGTTTGTAGGGAGAAAGAATATGTCTCATTATACCAGACACTGTTAGTTGACCTGGGTCAGTCTTCATCCTTCAGTCCCTAGCCTTCTTGGAATGCTTTTTTTTTTTTTTTTTTTTTTTAATGTCTTGAGTTAACTGTGGACAACTCGTGTGTGTTTTCTCAGTAGCTGAATTGAGTTTTGTGGTTCATCTTTCCAGACCCCAGGAAAGCCTGTGGGGATGATCTGTTTATGCTGAAGTTTTGTCCACATAGCTGTATTTGCAGCTTAGCTAAGGACTACTATGTCTGCTTCATACTTAAAGAAGAGCTTGTGTGCTCAGAAACTTTTTGTTGTGTGGCACAACAGAGCACAGGAAGAATTTGAGAACGGGAAAAGAATAATCCAGATTCTTCTGAAAGCTGATTTTGCCATAAAACAAAGCAAGGTCAAAGGACTTCCATGAGATCCAGTTATGGTCAACAAAATGGCGAAATGGGCATCATCGCATCCCAACAGGTTTCATCAATCAAGTAACAGTCATGTCCCTACCAGTTAGCATAAAAGAAACCCAAACATTCCTAGGCATAGGATTTTGGAGAATGAGTATTCCATGCTACAGTCAACTTGTGAGTCCTCTCTATTGAGTGACACAAAAGAACTATTTTGATTGAGTCCTTGAGCAACAATGAGCTGTTAAACAGAACAAACAGGAGATAGTTCATGCAGTAATAGCCCATGAGCCAGTCCAGACAGGACAAGATGTGAGAAATGTTCTGTATGCTGCTGCCAGGGAGCGTGACCTCACCTGGAGCTTCCGGCAGAAAGGACCTGCAGAGAGCGAAGGCCAACCTCTAGCATTTTGGAGCTGGGGGTTTAGGACATTTTGCTCAAAGGCCTGGGTACAGTTGGCGGGTAATGTGGAAGAATGGTGAAATCTGGTGTGTACCCCAAGGAGATTAAACTTTAGGGGAAAATAACATGTGATTTGAATTGCATATAACAGGAAGTACTCCATCAAGAATCACCTGAACCAATGGAGAATGAGCCCTGCAAGAAGCCAGGCAAGTACAGCAGTGACCCAACCTGAGCCAATAATTTAACACAACATGCCATCTCTCCTTTCCTGAGCAACCACATAATACATGAAGCCCAAGTCATGGATTAAATGAACTCAATGCACATTTTATGAACTTTTTACAAGGGTGGTCCATAGACTAAGGGAATGATATCTGTATATGTGTATCATGTGACAGGAGCAGGGTGCTGGTTAATAGGGATGTATTGCATAGTGTAAGGCCTAAGAATGACATAAATGATATGGGATAAGGAGCGGAGATTGCATTCAGTCTGGCTGGGATTTTGTTCACAGAAGCCTGTATGGTGCTGGTTTGGATCTTGTGATATTTTGGATTTGTGACTAAAAGTGTAGATAACAAGCCAGTATTTTGGTAATTGCTGATCAGACCTTGCACAGCACCTTATTCCCACTCTGCCCTCCCATTGAGGGCAAGAAGCTGGGAGGGGACACACAAAAGCAGCTGACCCAAAATGACGAAAGGGATATTTCACGCAATAGAAAAGCATGCTTATCAATAAAAACTGAGGGGGAGAGGTGTTTTGGGAAGTGAGGCATCGCTCAGAGGCTGGCTGAGCATAGGTCTACTTGTGGGAGGTGGTCAGTCTTTGCATCAATTGTTTTACTTTGGTCCTTTCTTCCACTTTCCTTCATTTATTAAACTATCTTGACCCACAGGTTTTCTCAATTTTGCTCTTCTTATTCTCTCCCCTGTCCCACTGGGGACAGAGCAAGTGCTTAGCTGGGTGGTGCTCAGCCACTGAACTGGGTCAACCCACCACACCTTGTCAATGGCCTTGTAAGTTATTTGACCACTCTCTACCTTACCATGTGTTTATTTTTTGGACCATCACAGATAAAATGGCA